GTGTACCCCGCGGCCCGCTTTCCGCCCGCTCTGACGTCCTTGTGCCGCGAAGCCGGAAGCCAAACAGTAATTTTTCGCTATTTGTTGCCACGCCGCATGAGAAAAGCAGCCCCAAACAGAGCCTTAGTGGGCTCTCCTCTGACTTTTAAGTCAAAAGATTTTAATCATAGAACTGATCTTTCTACATTACAAGGTTGAAGCTGCTAAATGGGGGCATTGGGCATATCAGGTCATGTCGAGCTGGGTTAAAGCATTAGGCATCTCACGTACATTTTAACAATCTTGTAATGGATTCAAATAGAGTTTTTTTTATTATTTGGCTTGGATCAATGTAAAAAGAAATAGTTATTTTTTGGTCAGGTTAAATGAAAATATTGTAGATTAACATGATTCTAAAATATTGTTTTGGGTCTAACTTGTAACATCATGCCAAAAATATTACCTAAGCTGCTAATGTATTGTTATTGTTGGTTTTGGTTGGGTGTGTTTAGACTTAAAAGTTGCTTATGCCAACCCATTGAACCTAGCATTGGCAGAGAGCCTCATATATTATGTATGCCCTTTAGCAGTTAGACTATTAATTTTTTAATTAATGGTTGGAAAATCAAACTATTCTAAGTAATTATAAAATGTTTTGAGAATAATTCAATTAATCAAACAAGAATGAACTAATCTAAATAATTGATAAATATTGATTATTATTAATATTATTGTTATTACTAAATTAGTAAAACATTATCATAAAATTAGAATAATCAAAACTCGATGGGTGAGTAAAGTTTTAATTTAGCCTGGTTTATCTGAAGCTCACTTTATATTAAACAAAGGAATTGCTATCCCTAAGGAGTGACTTCATACTGAAGAAATCAATGTCCCCTCATTGACATTTGAATGAAAGTGCACTCCATGAACTTAACTCCAATTATATTTAAACATTTGTGCTGAAACATCTTATCTGTTTAAATTATAGCCCAAGTAATCATAAAAAATTATGAGATATCTAAGTGGAACTCAAAGTTTGGGTTAGTTTTGCCAAAAGATAATGCGGTCTAAATTATTTGGAATGGTCATTCGAAAAGTTATTTTCTGTCATTTTATCCATTGCCTTTTTTAGCTTAATTTTTTGTTGTTTCCTCGTCTTTTGCTCTTTCTGCGCTGATCACTTCCGCATGTTCTTTTTTATTTTTAAACTTTTTTTTATTTCCATATTTTCATAAATTTATGATTGAATGTTTTACACAGAAACCTTAATTCATATAAATTTCTACCTTTTCTATGGTTCTGAATTCTAGGCTATGACCAGATAGTTGCCTCCCCCCCTCTCTCTCTCCTTGTTTTTGCAAATACACAAACATGCTTGGTTACCTTCATCTATCTTTAAGTAACCTTGTTATTTAAAGCGTTTTATTATCATTTTAGTAGTGGTTATTTATTTTAATGTCGTGTTATTTTAGTAATTTAAAAGGTTTTCAAGCATTATTTATAATGTTGCCTGCTAGAAAAAGATGCTTACTGGTGTTACTGCTTACTAGACGGTTATTTAATGAGCAGTATCCATTGGAGAAATTTTTAGATGCTAATTGGTGATGGTCATAAATGAATTCATAATTGTTTGATCATGGTGTTTGTTTGTTTAGGGAAAGTTTGCATGCAGGTCCTCATTTTTTAACTAGCTGCTATTTAGGCCGTGTTTTGGAACCCTTCAAACGGCTCATTATTTTAAAGTGGATATCTAGGTTCTTTTTATGACTGTGGAAGTCAATAATAGGTTTAAAGGATCAATTTGCCCTGTTCGCGGAGCTGCTTGCGGTGATTGTCACTGTGGCTTGTGCACGCCATGCATGAGATATATGCCATAGTTTGCAAGTGTAGAGAAGAGCCATTTTCCTTAAAAAATACGTACATTTGTAAATTTTGTTCTAGACTTATGAATAATCATTTATGTGGACCTTTTTGCTTATAGTATGTACGTTGGGTTGCATACTTCGGTGTTTCAAACTATCAAGGTGTAAGTTACAGCTCCTTAAAGATTAAGGATCTTTGTTGGGAAATTTCTTTTTATTTAACGAAATTGGTTTCATATGTTAACATGGCAATGAAACTTAGATTTTTCGTGAAATGATTAATCCACTTAAGATTGTTAGTTGATGGAGTCAAGACTTTCTGAGAAGCAAAGCCGTGGTAGAAATCACTTCAATAAATTCAGCAAAATGCAGAGATAGATAACGCAGTTGAAAAACAACAGTGGCAGGGGGATTAAAAGCAATTTTTCGATCACCTTCATAACCTCAGAGCACTTGTGCCACACTGCCTGGGAAAAGTCTTCTGCAACACTAAGCTACAGGCATTGGCAAAGAGAATATAGTGGTTTTTAAGCTTAAGGTATGAGAATTAGTAGAATGAGATAGAAAATGAGAGAGTTTTGTGAGAAATCATTCATTCATTTTTTTTATAGAAAATTAAATCTATTTATAGACAAAATACTACATAGGTAAGTTTTGACTCTTTTCTAAATGAACACGAGTAAGATTTTTATCTATTATAATAAATTAGATTAATTCAGCTAATGATAGTTTCAGTAGGAATTCAAATGCAAGCTTATCTAAATAAATTAAAAAAAATTATCCTTGTGTTGTAATTTGAATTTCACTTCTATAGTCTAGCTTTTGGAGATTCAATCTCTCTCCTGTGATGTCCAGTTGACAGTTTGATCATGCATACAGACCCTTAACGACATTCTCTTCAGTCTAAATGACAAGATACAAGAATTTCCATTGTTTGTATTCTTTTGGAAACACTCGATTGTTAATTCTTCAACAAACACAATCTTTTTCGTCATTTCATGATTTGATGTCCGAATTATAATAATAGATGATTTGATTGACCGCCTATCTTGATTAGATCTTTAGATCTAACACTGATGAAACACTCTATGGTAATTGATTGTTAGTTGAGATGAAAATTGGAAACAATGTTGAATCTCAATGTAGATGATGATATTTTTCTACTAGAAGTAACTTCTAGATATCATGAACATGGAATATTGTACAATTAATTGAAATCATGCAATCATTGAAGACCACACTATCCAACTTGAATAAATTCGATCAAGCATGCAAATCAATGATATGATTTATAAAGAAATAAAAAAAGAAAGAAGTCACTAAAGTAAGTTTGTTGTTTGTGCAAAGAAAAAACTTATGAAATTTTTAGGCTTCCACTTCTTCTAGTAGAAGAATAGGACTTGCATTCCTAATGATAAATTTAATAGAAATTACTCGATACAGGCCCCTTTTTATAAGCACAATGTTCCCATATACTAATAATAATAATTAAAGTTTACCAACAAATCCCAAATAAGACAAGCATACAACACAATAATTTAAAGATTCATGTCATGATTTTTTGACAAAAAAGTTTTTGTTGGCAATCAATTACCTAGCACAATGCTCTACTTTTTGCATCAAATAAGACAAACATCATGTAACTAAGGATCAGTTTAGGCTAGCTTTCTGGTTGCTTTGCTTTTTAGATCATCATCGCAGCTCTGTTTGTGGAATTGTTTTCTTGTTGTTTTTTAGAAATTTGTGTGCTAGAAAGCTATTTTTTTTTAACCTATTGTGTTAAAGTGCGAGGGATGCCGGAAAGTTGCGGTCTGACTTTTTGAAATTAAAATGTAATAGTTAACTTAGTCTTTTGAACTTCTTCTTCAACAGCTTCACGGCTGCTTCTTTAAACCGTTGCAGGTGCTCCAAACAGACCCTAAATCTTATTACCCTTCTTACTGTTAGATTCTCATACGCTTCGCGTCAGATATCTCTTATTATTCTCCTAGATTCTGCTGGAGGAATTCAATCCAAAAGGAAGCAGACTCTATACCACCACCAAATAGAATCCACTCTCAAATTTCCAGCAACTAGTTTCCAAAAACTACCATTGAATAATGAAAAACCCAAAATCACAATCTTCCATAGGAAGTTGTAGAACGAAGCTTCATATTACTTATATCCATATTGATAGAAAAGTATACCGTGTATCCATTACTGCAAATATACCATACGAAGAAGAGAAATTTGGTGGAACTCATAATTTGAGCAGGGAAATTCGTGCATGGCGACGATGCATTCAAATAGTTGGGTCACTTCAGGAAATTTGGTAGGATCAATTAAAATCCTCATCGTCTTGACGTTCAACCTATAATCATCCTTCTTTTTCTGTAAAGATCCTCATGCTTACAGTACTTAACCGTAACTGTGCTTGAGCCTTACCCAACTGTTGCGATATATTTAGAAAAAAAGGGGAATTATATCATCATCAGCATATCTGCCTTACCCAACTGTTTGTATTTGGTTAGATGCAATTCTTGACTAGAACTAGAAGAGGTATCAATCATTCCTACATCAAGAATGATATTTTTTGTTTTTTCATTTTGCTTTTGCAACAAAGGCTTATGGGTGTAAGTATTTTGTTACTCTAATTTACCGAAATGATACTGGTTTATTTTGCTAGATTTGAAATATATAATTACTTCTGTGTCCTCAATATTAAATAGATTTTGATTATTGCGGTTTCTGTTTGTATTGATAAATTAGAAACATATATTTAAATTTTCTTGCAGCAGGCATGAGAGTATGGTTAAAAAAAATTTGCAGTTAACCATCCAAGATAAGACGCCAAAGCACTTATTCAATTATTGTTACTTCATAGTTTGATAAAGCTATTCACTTTTAGATGCCACGCAACAGTTAAATGAAGCTTTGGATTAGCAAATTTTAATCTGCTCGTGTGCATGTCCCATCTTTTTACTGCAGAGGAACTGCTTTTGATTTTCAGCTAAACATTGCATTTCTTATTGCCATTTAGGCGCCTTAATTAGTTTCATAGCATATTTTGTTAGAGAACTAATATGCTATCATTTTTCTATTCCAGCTATGAAGCTTGGGTCATCTACAACTTCCTTTCGCTCTGCTTGGCCTGGGTGGGCGGTGCAGGTGCTGTAGTTGTAAGTTTAAGTGGCCGAATGCTGAAGCCATCATGGGGGCTCATGACTTGCTGCTTTCCTGCCATTTCTCTCGATGGGTAAATTGCTCATTCATCAAATTCTTGTTTGAACTATGTTCTGTTTTCCTAGAATTGTTCGTTATTAATGTAGATTCTATGGATCAATATTTTTCAATCAATCTGTTCTGTCCTTTTCTTACAGGCGCTTTATTAGGAGGTGCAAGCAAGGTGCATTGCAATTTGTGATACTTAAGCCAATTCTAGTTGCAATCACCTTCATATTATACTCGAAAGGGAAATATGAAGATGGGAATTTCAGTGTTAACGAGGGCTATCTCTATATTACAATCACATACACAATTTCATATTCTGTAGCGCTGTATGCACTTGCATTGTTCTATGTGGCTTGTAGAGATCTGCTCCGGCCTTACAATCCAGTTCCGAAGTTTATCTTAATCAAATCTGTCGTCTTTCTCACTTACTGGCAGGTATGTATGATAATGCTCTGGTTAATGTGGAAAGGAACCTATCTTTACCTTGCTTTTGTGTTCGCATTCATCTTATGTTTCTTTTATTTGATTAAATATGCATGGTATTTTTTTTTTAGGTTTTTTCGTGAAGTTTTTGAGCTTTGTTTTATATTAAATTATTAAAATTTTATCATATTAAAAAACTTCTCTCACGATATTAACATCCAACGACTAATATTAATATCACCAAAATCTGGAAAAGCACAACTCTAAAAACCTTTTTTTTTTTTGTTATTGTGTGATTATCTGGTTGTGGCATGTGTATGTGCAAATACATGGGCTTTCCACTTTTTTCTTATAATATTAAACATCTAAATAAGATTTGGGTGATATAACTTAATTTTCCACTTTAGCAAATCTAATTCGATATGTACTTTATTCAATACGCCATTTTCATCCCTCAGAACTATTCTTATTGCTTTTATTCTTCTTGATCTCACCATGTAATAATGTCTTGACTGATTTCTTCATTTTCTATTTTTTTAGTGCCTCTAGATTTCTTTTCAAATACATAGGAATTGAATGGTATGCATGTAAATCTTCCTACCCTCAGAACTATTCTTATTGCTTTTATTCTTCTTGATCTCACCATGTAATAATGTCTTGACTGATTTCTTCATTTTCTATTTTTTTAGTGCCTCTAGATTTCTTTTCTAATACATAGGAATTGAATGATATGCATGTAAATCTTCCTATTTTTTTTTTAACATGAGGTGGCCAATATACCATAGTAGCTTTATCAACTCTTGGAATATACGCAAGGAATGTCTTCTCTTATTAAAGAATGCATGAAATTATGATGCAGAAGTTTTAAACTGACCGGCGCATGTTTACACGCAGGGTGTTTTGGTCTTCCTTGCTGCAAAGTCTGGACTCATAAGTAATGCCAATGAAGCTGCAGATCTCCAAAATTTTGTTTTGTGCGTGGAGATGCTTGTCGCTGCTGTCGGCCACTTCTATGCTTTTCCCTATAAGGAGTATGCAGGTGCCAATATCGGTGGTTCCAGTGGTCTGATTGGCAGTTTTTCTCATGCTCTAAAATTTACTGATTTCTACCATGATACGGTTCACCAGGTAAACTAAAAAACCTGCTAATGTGATTTTTTTTTTTTGGGTTTATTTTCACCATTGTCCTGAACAGAAGCTTATTCGCTCAGTTTGCCCCAACATACCATGATTATGTGCTTTACAATAACACTGAGACAGATGATGGAGCCAGAAAATATCGATCGAGAACCTTTGTGCCAACCGGGCAGGAGATGGATGCAGTGAGAAAAAATCGGCAAATGTATGGCGGCAGGCTTGATGATATCCAACTTTCTAGTGTCTCCACATCAGGTTCCAACAGTCCGGCCGTTTCAAATGCTTTGCCAGACCTGGTTGACTTGGAACTCATTAAATCATCCTTGCTCAAGGAGTCATCTGCTTCCGCTGCAAAACCATATGATTTATCAATTCTACTAGACACTGAACTTTCTACCTACCCTTCTAAGGTTCCCCCTGTTGGGGATCCAATCAGATGACAACTTTGATTAAAGTACTCTATACTTGATGATGCAGAACTTCATTTACGAGGTTCTAAAGTTGGTGATGATTATTTTGGTCTGGTTTACCAAATTGCTGAACCACCGATATCAACAGATGCAGATGTTTGACAGTTTATGACAACTTCAACAATCAACTTGATAGTAAATAAAGAACATTTGTTTCCTTTGTGATTTGTAGGACAACTGGGCAGTGTTGGTGACTGCTGGTTGTGTATATGGAAATATCTAGGCAGTTTCTTTGGTTTTTTTGGGTCCCCCAATGGATTTTAGACTTTATTTTATATAGTAATTTCTGTTTTTGTTCTTGATTTGCGCACAAAATTTTGGATTGGTCGAGTATTATTGGAGATTTTGAAATTATGCTAAATCTGATTCATTGGAATTGCATATGGTGATTAAATCATCAATAATTTTGATCTTATGCCAAATATTGGATTGGGATCCATGAACCTTTACTTTTCATTTCTACTGTTGTAATTGTGTTGATGACATAGCCAATTCATCTAAACTGCATGCTCTAAAATGCTAAACAAAAAAGTTTTTTCCAAATCACTAATTACAGATAAATCATAGCCTTTGCCACTGAAAAATTACAGAAAAATTTCTTCAAATACGACCTTCAAACTACAGATAAATTTAAAAAGCACTTCAAAACAAACAAATGGGCGCTTAAAAACCAGGAAGAGACTACTGAATTCATCTACATTTGTGTCTTCCCCCGTTTTCTTCTAGCAGGATAAAAAACAGTATTCTAGGTACACAAACTACGTAAATTTGCTAAATTTTTCTGAAATGACAAAAAAAAAGGCGAAAGCCTTGGAAACTTTATTCAAACTTAATAAGGGGGCAAAACTCTTTGTACATTTGTCATTAGCAAATGATCACTAAGATCAATTTACTACATGAACAGATCATCAAATATAGCACATCAACCGAAAATGCAAAAGCAATTGTTATCGACATGATTGCAGGCACTCAGTCGCCAGAATTTACGCTCCCTTGATCAACATCTTTGCTATGCAAGGTGCTCTCACAGTTCAATGCAGAGTTCTCGCTTGTGACAGCCGTTGAGCAACCATCTTGATCACGAAAAAACTGTCCAATCGATAAGGGATTGTAGGTCGAACTGGCTCGACGGAGACCCTGTATCGCTTTCAATGCAGCCAATGTGCTGCGGCAAATATTGTCAACATCCTCATGCAGAGATCCTGTTTCAGCATCTCTGTTCTTATTGTTCAAACTTCCACTCTTCTCCGCAGAGCCTGCATCAGTGACTTCTGCTTCCATGGGGAAGAGGAGTTCGAGGTTGGCTTCACATTCGTGGACTAACCTTGTCAGAGGCTCCGTTGTGAAAAACGGCTGATGGAGCGCACGCCGAGTGAAAGGAAGACTCAGTAAGCCTCCAGTCCTTTTGTCATACTTCTTAAGTATCTTTACAAGGCCTTTTAAGAACACACAAAGACAAATGCTGCTTTTGTTATTTATTACAGTTTCAGTGGTGAGGGACTAAATCTTTTGATATACCTGCAAAGTTTAAGGAGCTATAATTTTTCAGGAGCACCATCTCCCCATGGATGGTCACAAATGCCTTGCGAATCTCAAACATTTCCTCGCTAAACTTAGTCTCAGATGTAAGAGCTCCCCTTTGTTTTATTCTCAATTTCTCAATTCTTTCCTTGAGTTCCTGCCAAGAAGACCAGGGATAAGAACAGTAAATCATTAAGTTGATATAGGACTAATAACAAACTAATAAGCATGTCTAATTCCAGGTGCCATTCACAAAACTATTTTCGCAAAAAAGGTTAAAGATTCAGATATTTTTAGCAAGGATTGGTTCATAAAATAACTCAAAATCAAACTAAAGCAGTAATAAAAATAGTTAAAATAATATAATCTATTTAGAAAGCATTATTCTCTGGGTTTATCTGGCGCTATATGCAATGTGAAACAGAGAAGAAGCTAGATAAGATTCCACAGTCTCTCAGATTCTTCTTGAGAAGTGGATAAAAGTCACAATTTCTTTTGGATAAATCCCAATTGTTGAAGCAAGAAAATTAATTAATAATGACATTTGGAATATAAAAATCACTTGTTAGTCAGTATATGATCGCATTCATAATCAAGGTTAAGTTAATCATCCTCTCATGGCATTTGTTGATAATGGAAAATCAAGAGAATTAACAATGACATTTGTTAATATATAAGCACATTTTTGATCTGCCTACTCATGCTGGAAATACTTATCATGTTTAATATATAAGCACATTTTTGATCTGCCTACTCATGCCGGAAATACTTATCATGTTTCTCCTTTCACACATGAAGTCTTGTGTGAAATATTCCACTCAAGTTCAAAGCATATCAACTGTATAAAGATAAAACTGACCTATATATTTTAACAAATGTCATTGTATAAAGACAGTGTGGTGGGAAATCTCTGGTTCCTGTATTTTAAAAATAAATAATTGTTTTTCCAAGTATAATTAGAAGAGGAAAGACCTACCATGGTCAATGGTTATAGCAGACAAGCGAGAAGTAGAATTAAAGCACACTGAATTTAGAAAAAGGAGTACGAATAGTTTAACAGAATAGAAAATGTCATATTTCACAAATAACCATTTCATATTAACATGATGTCAAAAACATTTGACATCAGCTGAATGAGAATGATCTAAAAAGGTTGTTGGCAGAACTCATCACAAAGTGGAAGCTGTAAAGGAAAAATTCATTCTTATATTATGCACTCTAAAACGAAAGGCGGTATCAATATGAACTTGTAAAATTCTTTTAATGACAAACAAATTGCAATTAGTATATTAACGAGCTTATTTTCCAGGGAAAGTAATGATCCAATTTTGAGATGGAATTTGGAATTTAATATGTAGAATGTAAAATAAGCATACAAAGAAAGGTCATTTATTCATCTTAAAACAAACTCAGTTACTAAAAGGTTTAGACAGCGAGATCTCAGCTGGGAACACCCAATTCTCTCAGAACCATTAGACACAATATATTACTTTCAGAAAAGAGTTCTATTGCGCGAAACAAAAAATATTGGGGACAATAATAGATGGAACGCATTATTTCATTTATAAGAACCAGGGGCACATCATAGTTTTCTAGGAGGAGAAAACCTACAATACACAAATCAAAAGGGGAACATCACCGTTCTTTAAGAAAAAAAAAACTTCAATACACAAATCAACTATGTCGAGAAGACCAGCAATGGGAGTCTCTGATCATTGGAAAATATTTCCTGGACTCATATTTGAAAGCAGACAATTTTCTTGATTTTTCAGCTCTTATAGGGGAACCCTCATTGATTGAAGATCTCCGGATTCTTGAATTTACAACATTTGGTTAAGAGGATCTCTCAACTTTGGTATAGTACTATTATTTAAAATAATCAGCTTAAGTTCATCAATTCTATAGGGATATAGTGCTAAGAAGAGTCATGAAAGTATCATAATCAGGCAACTATAAATATTCTTATGTATAAATATTCAGCTTTCATATAACTCTGAAAGTCTGCCTAACAGGTTACTATACCACATTGAATTCTTACTATAATTCAATCAGTTGGTGTGAATATTAACAGATGATTTGGCTTAAAATTGCAATCTAAAGATTTAACCACAATATCCTCAAACTTAAACTTTTCAAATTGGTCCAAAATATCCACACTTTTATTTATCTAAACAATTTCCATAGCGTTGCTCGATATCCTTGACCAGGAAGCAAGTATTGTTATCTTCTTTGCTGAATTGGACAACATTTCTAGATTCTTTTATGTCAAGCATGCCTTGCACTTCAAAGGAGATTTTTGACTTATTCGAGGAGCAGCATTTCTTTATCAGTGTACGTGTAACTTTATTAGTTGTGCCAAAGATTTCACATCCATAGATTCAAATACTTATTAGGAGGAAGAAAATATTGTGAGTCATGCAAAATAATATCTTCTTCATCTTCATACAGCTTTGTTATCCTTCATAGATAAATGATCGATTAGTGTATCTAGATTTTTTGAAGTCAATGAAAAAACTTTATCATCAAGAATGTTAGGATTATTTGTAGTTGAAAAGGTGGTCTCATTGAATGCTACCTTCCTAGGTTTCATCAAAACCACTATTTTTTAGTAGGCGTGGGTCAGTACAACTAAATCAATTAAAATTTGTGAGTTATATTTTATTCATACTTGTTTTGTTGCCCTTGCTTACTCATAGCACAATGCATAATTTATTCCCGTTATAATCTATTTTAAACCCTGGAATAAAGAAAGTCTTCTCGTCTAAATTTAGATGAATTCTTATTATTCATATCAAGGGCACAACAAACCATAGAATATTTAATCCTTAGATGACTTATTAGTTTTAATACCACTCTATATAAAGGCAGGATACGAAAGACCTAAGATAAGTTTAATATACTAATGAATGGGCACCTATCAACTCAAAAGCTTAAGGTAATAAGTAAAAGTCATTGATAGCACACTAAGAATCCAAATATCATTCAGTTTTCAACATGGGGCTATGCTTCACTCTCTCCTGGATCTTAACAATTGATCAATGTGGAATCTAGTGAGTCATTTGACGTTTGCACATGTATAACATTTTGCATAATAATATATCCTTCCAATTAAACGCAATATCATTCATCGTACTCTAAACTCTAGACATCTGGTATGCGAGTAACATCAAAATGGCCTACACTTTCATATGTACACACATAGCACTCAAATCTTTAATCTTTTCATGCATAGCTTTAAAGCAACAAAGTTCTATATATGTAATATCAAAATTTAGGTGTGAGATATGTAGATACATAAGAATTGTGTGCTACATATGTAAATTTCCCAAATCAAAACTTAAAATGAGAACAGTGCCGAGCACATAATATAAACAGTCCTTTCAAAACACCAAGGCAGAATATATCATCAATGAGCAAATCTATAGCACAAATTAATAAAATTATTTTCAAGTCATTTAATACCGATGCCTGCGAAAAAAAAAGGAGGATATGGAATGAAAACCAAGAAAGTACACGGCTTTTTACTTCATCAGAGAAGCTACACATATCAGATAGCAAAAAAGGCTTCACCTGCAAGCGAATGACGAACTCCTCCTCCTTGTCAACATAAAAATCATTAAACTTTTCGAGCTCCTCATCAAGAATTCGCACAAACCATTCCTCAAGTCCCAACCATGGATGGCCGTCGGCACCTTCATCGCCGTCTGGTTGAAGGTTTTTGATCAGCTTCTTCAAGGGCTTGTAACTGAGAAACTTATCCCGCCATTCCGGCAGCGTTTCGTCGAGGTGAGTTCGAAAATCCTTCCCAAACTTCATCTTTCTCCGCCAAGAAATCAATCGCCCACTATCGCTTCAAAACCCTATGGCGGCCAATTTGCCAATCGGACGGAACGAAGGTGAAAGTTGGAATTTTTTTTGTGGTGCCGTCATAGTATTTCTGGGAGGGCCGGCGGCAAGGTATATTCTGTCGACTGCTGGATTATCCGTTAGCATTTTAGACATTAGATGATACAAATTCCAATTTTTCATGTCTGTAATAATCGGCGTGCAGAATTGGCTACGTCGTTATATTTAATGTCTCCGTTCAGCCAAAAAAATTTGCATCACAATTATCTAGGTAAGCTTAAGTGTGGAGTCAAATAAAATCATGACACGTAGAATTGATAGAAAAAATAATAAAATCTGCCGGGCAACACATATTCTCCCGTGTTATTCAAAATATTATAATAACACAATAACACATCAACAATACTTGAAAAACACACAATAACACTTGAATAATACGTGAGGAATATTCTTTTGTGTTACCGATCAGATTTTATTATTTTTTTTTGTCACTATCACGTGACGTGATTTCATTAGACTTCGCACATAACTCTATGTGCAGAATTACAATATTTTCTCCAATTCAAGAATAACTCTATGTGCAGAATTACAATATTTTCTCCAATTCAGCAGAGTAGCTTAATAAAGAATAGTCAAGAATAAAAGTTGTTTTTTTAGTACCCTTTTGTCATACATATTAAATAGAAATGCAAAATTGATTTGAATGAAATGATAATTTTGTAATTTCTCTCAATTTTGTTGTAGTTTTAAAGACTTTGTCAAGATTAGGCTGAAGATATAAAGAAAGCTGTTTATTGGTAATTAGATGGCACTTGGCATCCATGCTATGTGATTTTTCTATATACGGAAAGAATATTTCTATCTAATGGGGCATTTGGATACATTCCACTCAATTCATCTGTATTTACATATCTAACGCTTAAATTTTACTTTTTTTTTTTACAATCATACCTCCCAAAATTTTCATGTATGTATAATCAAAACATCATTGACCAGATTATTCACGAATTGAACGATTCAAAGCGGAGCATATGTCAGCAGGTGAAAGTCAGTTAGAATAAATAAATATATTCATGAGTCGGAGATTGGTTGTGGCCGACTAAGGGTCAACTGACCCAGAGGACAATCGATCCAGTGGAGAGTTGGTGTGCAGAGGGCTGGAGGCATTGCGTGCGAAGGGGATAGGAGCAACCCTTGTATAAACATGAAGGAAGAAGAAAAAGAGAGAAGATGAGGCATGGCTTAGGAGACCGAATTGAAGTACTGTTTTTATGATAAAAGTTTAAAAAAAAAGTTTTTTTTTTAATTTAAGAATTGAGTTAATAATGTCATGATTGAATCGGCCGAGCATTGTGGAAGTGCGGGAAGAGTTGCATCAATCCAATCGGAAGGTAAGATGAAGAAGAAGCGGAAGAAATTTCATTTTGAATGAGAGGAGTAATCAAGGTAAGGGTTTATGATTTTATGTTTTAATTAAATAAATTATTTTAATTAAAAGTGTTTTTAATTTAATATTAAAGGTCCATGAATTAATATTAGTCTATTTAATGTGACAAACAATTGAATTAGAAGTTAAAGGAGAATGAGTTGGATAATTGTAGAAAAGAGGGGAGTAGAGAAGTGTTATTTTGAAAGAGGAGATAGAAGTTAGTCGTAAGGAAAGCTTCTAGGATCGGGATGAGTGCTATTACTTTTAAGTTATAGTATCTTTTGTTTCTCTTATACCAAATTTATTGATTGTTACTGAAGCTTGATTGCACAATTGTACTGTGATTTAAATGATTTTTTAGAAGTTGGTCATATCATATCATTGTGATGAATATACATTTTTTGAAATTTTAATATTATGTATTATTTAAATGTATAATTGAATGAAAAGAAGATATGAATGATGTGAACTATATCATATGCTTGAATTTGTATGCATGAATAGGATGGAGTTCACCAATTTATGATACTAACAGAAAAAGACTAAAATATTGATATTGAAATAAAGTAGATGGTATAAATTTAGACGGTACTTTTATGACAGTAGTATATAAATTAAAAAAAATATTTATATGTAAACGATATAACAAGACACATTGAATGTTTATAATAATCTTGAATGATTGTATTAAATAATTAAAAAATTTAAACACTCTGAGATTGGTTTATATAAAGTTTACTTGACATGCATATTATTTTTTTTATTGCATTACTATATTTTAGGAGTATGAGTATTTGCTAGCTTTGTTTAATTTAATGTTGTTTTAAACTATCATTTTAGGTTTAAATTATCTAATTAAAAGAAAAGCAACTAAAGAGAAAATATTTATAGATGATACGAACAATCAGAAATGAAGTAAATTTAATCGTATTACTTTAATTTACTTTGTTTAGCGACTCTTTCGTTTGTTATATGTTATAGAAAACGAATATAAAATGTCATTTCATGCTAGCTCTCTATAAATAATTAAACATTAAATGTAAAAAGAGTTATTGAAACAATATACTAAAATAACTACTCTCCCACATCTGTCCATACATTTCTGTCTCCTTACAACACATCTTGGGTGTGATTCACAAGTAAATTTGGGTTCAACAATATCTCATCATAAATACTACTATCTTAACTTTGATGACCTTCATAATAAGATACATGTACAAGATTTTTGAATAATGGGTTATGAGCTTGTGCATGATGGTTGATTAGTGTGGATATTATATGGTTTGACAAGTTGATTAATGGTAGTGGGAAAATATCACTTTATTGAAATCATGCCCTAATAGTTAACCGATATATCATTTTTCATTCAAAATTTTATGACATCAAGCTATTATATAAGTAAATATGAATGTCTAGATGTCAAATTATCTAAGAACACAAAGAATTGTGTGGTATGTTTGTAAATTTAAAAAAACAAAATGATGATGCTTTCTTTACAATGTAGTTGTTACCTAACATAATACCATTTTAATTTGGTGAGATATAGTACAAAAATCTGAAGGGGCATTGACATACATACCACCCAATTCCCAGTATTTACATATCAAGCACCTAAACTTTAGTTTTTACAATTATACCACAAAATCTTTATAAAAAATATCCCTACTTCAAGATTTAAAAAGTGAAATACTAATGAACTGAGTGTTTCATAAACTAGTTGTAGCTTGTCTTGATAAGAGCTCGTTCACATTAGTTTGATTAACTAATTGAACAAGTTTGATCACTTCTATAAATACTAGATTATTAAATGAATAAGCTTGAACAACTACTTGTTCGGTTCATTTATGTTTGCGAATAAAATCATGTAAAACTTAGGAACGGGCTCATTAAAAAGCTCAACGAATCCTTTTATTTGAAGTTCATGAATAAGCTACAAATTTATAAACTCGATATAAGTCTTGATTAGAATATAAACAACTAAATCATACTATTCATTATTTTGTCCGATAAATCTCATTTAGTAAGAAAATAAATAGTAGGACCGCACTAGTTTTAACTTTTTAAATAAAGATTATTTAAATATAAATGAATAACTCGATAAAAATACATTAATTTGCTCGATAGTGCCTCGATTATAATCATATCAACGAACATGGACCAAACTCACCAAAATAACGAATGTACTAAGCTTGAACATAAACACAAAAACTCGACCTAATCTTGAGCCAAGCCTGACCTCAAATTTTATAAGCAAAATCAAGCTTGAGCAAAACCTTGCTCGACTCGGCACGATTTGTTTGCAACCCTAAGTGAAATGCACATTTTTATGCATAAATAAAGTGAAGTGTAAAGATCGAAGTTCAGGTTTTTAGATATGTTAATGCACATGAATTATGTGGTCTGCATGTCAATCTTCTTAATCTAAAACAAGAGTGCTTTAAATATCTTATGAATATTCTAACTAAAACATTTTGCTCCAAATTCTATAATCATGTCAAAACAAATTGAATAATTATAAAACCCATCATAATCAAAATTGATTCTTCGAATAATCTAAAACATTTTGCTCCAAATTTAAACTACTTCATGAAAAAATAAAGAGCAAAAAACAGAAAGCATAACAAAAGGAAATCTCATCAGGCAATCGTTTTAATTCACATAAATTTTACAGAAATTCAGGAAACATCCTTCATGATGTTCAGACGGGTTGGAATTCACCAATGTTTAAAACAAAAGCGATATAAAGTTCTTCAAACATTACAAGAGATGGATGGTGCAGAGTTCATCAATACATTGCTGAGAAATCAAGCAGAAGCATCAGTAGCTGCATCCATTTCTGCAAAGTTCTTCAACAAGTTCTTGGCCGAAGGCAACCCAGCAACCACATCATCTTCAATCTCACATTCATTTGTCCCCCTTAAAATCTTGAAATAACCATCCTGAACAGATAAAAAGAAGAAATTTTTATGGTTTTCGTGTTAGTAAAAGGAAATTGTTCATAAATATTACATACATCACCCCAGCCTCTATTCCACTGGTTAGCAAGTAGCTGCAGGAAAAAAAAAAAAAACATAAAGGCATAAAACACTCAGTCGGAATTGGATTTAATCTTGCAAAATTTAAGGAAATTAGAGTGATAAAACAGACCCAATAATCATCTCCTTCTTCGCTGGTTCCCCATCCGATTAGCTTAACAGCATGTCCACCCAAGACATCACCCGTGATGTGTCTATAGACACCTGATTTGTAGTGGGCAAAATCCTGTTTAAAAGAAAATAAAAACCAGATGACCAGATTGAGTATAGTTTAGGACTGATTATAATTAAGTAAGGATTCAACAATGGAGATTTCCTATCTGTTGTGATATGTGATCCCTTAAAACTATCAAACTGGACACACCGAAGTCATCATCATCAGCTTTATCCAACTTCTTAAGGTTAGGTTTACGAGCTCTATAAGATTCTCATTTAATTTGTGCTTTGTGTGCTACAATAGTGTTCATTAGTTTCCAAGCATATATTTATAATTCCTATACTAATCTTATTTTATATTACGTCGGCATTAATAATATCTATCTGCCTAGATTTAAAAATTTATATTACGTCGGCATTAATAATATCTATCTGCCCAGATTTAAAAGGAAAATTTTATAAGATGGTGGGGAGACCTACAATACTTTATGGTGCAAAAAGTTGGCCTATAGAAGAGAAACATAAAACTAAGTGTTGTGGAGATGAGAATGCCTAAGTGGATGAGTGGCTTTACACTTGGAGATAATGAGGAACGAATATATCCATGAATGGTTGGTGCAGCTCCAATGATAGACAATATCAGAGAGAGAGCCATCTTAGATGGTTTGGTCACATTAAACGTAAGGATCTAATAATCCTGTTAGGAGAGTGAATGTTTTTGAATTGACTTATATTAAGAAAGGTAGAAGTTGACCTAAAAATATATGGGCATGCTGTATAAAAAATGATCATAATTTATTAGAATTATATGAAAATGACACTCAATAGGACACAATGGAGAAAAATAATTCATGTAGCTTACTCCGCTTATTGGCATAAAGGCTGGTTGTTGTTGGCATTAATAATATTTATTAACTTTTAGGTATATCTTATATTAATTTTTGAACATTTAAATTTCAACATCTTATCGTAAGAAAACTATTTTTTACATATTTTATCTATTTTATATAAACCCATGACCATTACTTTTGTTAAGCATCTAATTTTTTTCCTTAAATTACCTTACACAAGCATTAAAAAAAATGTTCATTCTTTTTGGTAAATAGTAGTCTATTTATGATTTAATAACTCTACTTTTAAAAGCTAACGAGTTATTTCATCATTTACAAAATTATGTCTTAAACATGAATATATTATTTATGAAGGTCAACTCATCTGGGTTTGTGGAAGGTATTTCGATTTGCTGCAGTTTTTCTTTTCATTTGGTGTTCCTAGTAGCGTTAGGATTTGTGGAGAGAAGATCTACCTCTCGAACAGTAGATCAATGTTGTATCTTATTTGTTTTCGCTGGTGTTAGTTAAATCAATCCTCATTTGAGTTCCCTCACATCTCTATTGCAATTTATCTGCTGTTTGTTCGCTGTTTCTTTGTTCCGGGTGGTATCAATAACCTCAGTAAGTTTATTTTGCTTTTAACTTTCAATCCAATGTTATATCCTATTTTATTCCTAGTAATAACATCTAATAACATAAAATAGTTAATAAATTACTCCACATCTTTTTGAGTTTTTTAGATTTTCATTTGGTTTCTACAGTCATAATAGCAAATCACTGTCTACATTGCTTATGATCTGAAAACATCATAAGAAAATAATGAACTTTCCTAGATTCCAACATTAAGTTGGATATCCACCAAAATTCTCAATTATACTTTTTTTTTTCCATTAAATAAGATGTTTTGAACAATTCATAGAAGTCGTACCTCATAGACTGTGAATGCAACCTCTACAGGACCATTTTGATAAACCTCAGCCATAATAGAATGAACATTAGAGCTTATTCTATAGGCGTTGACACTGAAACGCTTGTTTTCTTCCCAAAGCAGGTTTTTCACATGACACTTCTTCTCACACACAGGAGTCGGATATCCAGGTTCGCATCCCGGATGAGCACAGCCAATCTGATCAAAGTATGGGTCGCACTGCATTTCATGAAAATGTCAGCTCGCATTGGAACTAAACAAATGTGTAGAGAAATAAATAACTACATGACTTCAAATAACAGATTAAAATTTTGTAATTCCGGACACTTGTAGTGAAAGTCATGACATAACCATAATCAGATTTTTGAATAGTTATTTATATTTGAATTGCCAGTTTGAGCCTTATTTATAACCAAAACTTGGTTAGATGAAGTATAGCAGGAGCTAATACAATCTTATGAAATCTATCCTCATCAAAATCACTATTTATAGCAGTCAAGTACAGTTGGACCGTTTTTGAAGCCTTTGCTACGTTGTAGAAAATGAAATAATCACTCTAGCATAATTTTTTAGAAGAGTTTGGAAATAGATTGTACATAAAGGAAATTTGGAGGTGGAATGACCAAGCACAAAAAATGGTTAAAAAAAAAAGTTTTTATAAATACAACAAAGATTTGTAATGATTAAGAAAGGCAGAAGCCTTGCAAGAGGAATAATGAGAAAAAAAATAATAAAGAAGTCAGTGATTAGTGTAATAAGGCATAAAGATGGAGAAAAATACAGAGACAAGATTCGAACATTCCGGTGGGATGCAAAAAATTTAAAAACTGAAAAAGACCATTCTTTGTTGAATCCAAGCAGCCATTTTGACAAAATGAGACAACTGCTTACCTCCTCAGTTACAACGCCATGTTGAACAAAGTAGCGCCAAGCAGATATAGGATATCCACCATCGCAACCATCCCCGCATAGAAACCCGCAACATGCTAAAAGGTCATTAGCAGAGAGAGATATATTCTGCAATGTCCAATCCAAATCATATTAGTTATAGGGGCATTTACATACATACCACCCAAATCCTATGTATTTCATTTTTTGCCAAGTTAAAATGGTGGCATTTTTAATGTAATATAAAAGATTTGGGCGGCATAACTGTAAACATCAAAGTTTAATTGTTAGCTAAGTAAATACATAAGAATTGAGTGGAATGTATGTAAATGCCCCTAGTTTATATCGTAGAGCACAACAAGATGATATAAGACAAATGCATCACTAACAACCAACAAATCTATTATTAACAAAGGTCTAACCAAGCCAAACTGAATGCAGAAGCGATCAGATAAAGCCTCCACAGCACCGAAAGCCCAACACGAACCACAATGCCCCTACAATCACATAATCGCTTCATTAGGATACTGTAACATTACCGTCGGCACCCGAACAACAGCTTCAAACAAGAGGAAAAACATACCTGATCTTTAAACCAAGTTGGTGACGCATAGAATTTGGCAATCAAGCAAGAAAAAAATGGTCAGTATGTTGTCTAAAAAGTATAGAGCCGAAATAGTCCCCTAAATGTTTACATGGGGCCATTTTAGTCCCAAATCCTATAAAAGTGCTAAATTAGTCCCCAACCTCTTTAAATAACAATACTCCGTAGTGATCATTTAAAAAAGTCTGGGGACTGAGCTGACACATTATAGACTGTGAGACTATAATTACCCCCTGCAAAAAATCAAGAGACAATTTTGAGAATTTTCTCGCTGCTTCAATAATAATGATAATGCCAAGAAAGAGAAATAGAAAACTACCGAGTATTCTCCCAATAGTGCTGCATTGAGACCAAGTCTTTCTAGCATCAAATTCTTTAGGCAACTTCAAAGTATTGGAATAAGTTTTCACAGGAATATTGTCTACGAAACTGCGAGGTGTCTTTTTTACGCCAAGAATGTATTTGAATTGGCTAACCTGCAGAAAAACCAAAACTTAGAATCTGGAAACTGATCTTGATCAACTTATTTCCAAATTTCCTATGATATTTCGATTAAGATGGTGAAGCTGAACTCACTGTGTAATTGGAGAAGCGAGAATTGATGGCAGCTTTCCATCCTGCAGCAGGGTTCCCGTTGACCGTTTCCACAATTGACTCCTACACATATGAATTAGAGAAATATTAACATGAGAAATGAGTATGGATATTGATAATTACTATAGAAATCAATGTGAGCATGGTGAGAACTCACCTTAAGTATCTTTGACTCGGAACCCACCTGAGGGAATGGTTTAACAGCTATCACCTGTGAAAATTGGATGGATCAGATATTGGGAATGCCAAGACAAACTAATTTTATTTGAAAGCAGCAATAAGCAAACCAAAAGCATCACCAATCCACAAACTCAAGATTTATTAAGACTATTTTTAATCCAGAGTTAAATATTGAAGACTATTTTTCTGAGAATTGGTGGTTTTAAGGGATTTATATGAGACTTATGATGCAATATGATTAGCTGGACAGGTTAATCAACATTTAGTCAAAACAACTAAAGAGTTTGCATGGTTTCTTTATTGTCGAATCAGACTAATTTGGGTGGCTTATACTATTTGAAATAATTTATCATATGCCAATTAGTTATTTATTTAATTAGCATAAAAATCAATTCATTTTTTTAGTAATTAATTAATAACTGAATTGTAAGTCATGGCTTAAATAGAATATGATTATGATAATCAGTACTTAATTAGTTTGCTTATGAATTATTTAAATTGAACTAATTAAAAGTATTAATCGGTTAAAAAATTACTTCATATACACGGCTTAAAATTAATCAATTTTTAGGATGTCAATTTAGTTCCATGAAGAATTAGTAGGAGTTAATTAGAATAACTAATGTTAATTAGAAAGAGTATATTTTATCAGTCGAATTTAGAATAATGAAAATTTAACCCTGCAAATTAAACGGAAAATATTAATTTACATAGTCATTTAATAATTACTTAATAATTATGATGTTAAGAGTTTAAAGGAGTCTAACTATGTTGATTGATATTTAATTCAAATTATTAGAAAACAATCCTAAATAAGATATTTAAACATAGAGTACTTAACTAAAATAATAAAGGAAGTAAATTAAGAATTAACTAATTATTAAAATATTAATTTACTTTAATAAGGCTTGAAGGGGGTTTTTAACTTGATTATGTAGTAACACAAAATACCACCACTCAAAATATTGTCGATTCACTCATCCCTACAGTGCTCCAATATTCGCACATTCTGCTTATAGTTCTTGACAGAATATCAAACATTTCTCCAACAGGTGCTTAAGCGCTTCAATGCTTAATCGTTTCAATTTATAGTAATTATGAGATCTTAGAAATTGCCCCAATTAAGGAACCAATTTCCTTGCCAATGGCCTTACATAGCCAAGAATCATTTACCAAACAAACATGATTTAAGATTGAGTCTCCCACAAAATAGCACTTCGTCCCGAACGACTTTGAGAGGTGACTCTCATAGCATTGTGTTTTCATGTACATATTTGTGTATTATTTGGTGCCATATAAACATGAACTTTCGCCAAGAATCATTTACCAAACAAACATGATTTAAGATCGAGTCTCCCACAAAACAGCACTTTGTCCCGAACGACTTTGAGAGGTGACTCCATAGCATTGTGTTTTCATGTGCATATTTGTGTATTATTTTGGTGCCATTTGTATAAACATGAACTTTCATCCATCAAGATATTGCTTGTTTTAGCCCAATAAGCCTCAAGAACTTGTCCTTTTTGTGCAACTTCTGAGTAAGAACACCTGTCTTAGGAGTGCTTCAATATGAGCATGCTTAACTATGAATTTACAAATGAAACTCCAAATGCTATAAATAAAATTTTAACTTCAGTTGTAATCGCAATTTTAGTTAGATCAACAAATGCTTAATTAGCTTCAAAGAATCAATTTGAACCAGTATTACTTGATCATTAATAGAAATTCAGACAGTAGTGTAAAACCTAAATAAACAAGTAGTGCGACTTGGCATCTAAGTGAAGTAGAAAATTTCTCTTAACTATCACTAAAAATCTGAAACATATGCTTTCGAACTCCCAAGAAGCAGGAGATGGTTCCCATGTCCTGCAAACACTGGTAAAAATTTCAACTTTTTATCCATCGAAGACGAGGGTTTCAGTTTGAAAATCATTTTTCTATAGAACATACTTTACATCAACCAAAAGAACCCTAAGAAGATTCTCAAAAGCTCGTCAACAAAAGATTCGATCTTTTAACTAGATGACTTACCAGCTCGGACGGAATCGCGGCGGCGAACAAGAGCAGCCAAAAAGCCGCAAGCTTTCGCGATTTTCCGGCCATCTCTTTCCTTTCGGCCCTCCCCCTTCCAAGCGACGACTTTCGAAGGCCGAAAGAAAGACGTTAAGATCAATTGGGGAGGAAAGCTGAAATTTTTATTGGCCTAAAGAAGAACGTGAATGGGGTAGCGGACGGAATTCTCGCGCGACACGATACTAGCATGTGAATCTTGAGCTGAGATAAAGGTGGATCAGCTGCTCTTCGCAAACACCGCGGTGCTCGTTTTATATTTGTTTACTAATTTATTTTGGCATTTTATGCTTTATCTCTCCCCCATGTATCTTGTATCGGAGAAACTATTCCATATATATCATGCGGTCTTCGATCTCTCGTTGATCATCACAATTAATTTTTTTTAAAAAAAAATTAAAAAATGGAGCCCACTAAAATATATTTTCATGGTGATCGACCGTAGAGATCGGACACCTCGACCGTAGAGATCGGACACCGCATGTCAAATGAAATAATTTTTCCTTGTTGTATGGACTATTTTTTATTTATAAATGGCAATATAATGATACTAATTTATTTTGGCATTTTATGCTTTATCTCTCCCCCATGTATATATATCATGCGGTCAATGATCTCTGTCAATGATCTCTATCGTTGATCATCATAATTAATTTAAAAAAAAAAAAAAAAATTAAAAGTGGGGCCCACCCAAATATATTTTCATGGTGATCGACCGTAGAGATCGGACACCGCATGTATGATATGAAATAATTTTTCCTTGTTGTATGGATAATTTTTTATTTATAAATGGCAATATAACGAGCATATAATATGAAAAATAAAAATTGATGATATAATATCTATACTAACAAAGTAATCAATGATATCTTATAATTACAAATTAGAGTGATCCTGCAACAATAAAAGAGTGTCAAATGTCCAAACAATATATATTGCAACTATCTTTGTGAATATAAACATTACATTGTAATCATTTGCTTTTATGTAAACAAAATTGTTTAAACCTGATGGCATTGAATATGCAAATGTAGGTGTTATATATATATTAAGAATGACTAAAGATTATTATACGAGCCCCCAATCAACTTCATGTGTCTAATCATTCGATCCCGCACTGCAAGACACATGCACTCGGACAGACTCAAACCCGTGTGTGTGTGTATATCCTGACATGAAAGAAGGTGATCGATTTTTTAAATATAATCACATTGAATTGAATTAACATAAATTTCGATTAAGTTGTTATAAGTTAGGCAAATGTCAACACTTATTTTCATAATTTGATGTGTCGTGGCATCATTTTAAGGAGATGATGATTTAAATTATTAGTTGCGTATTTAAATGAACTACTGCTTATTAAAATATTTATAAGCGAAAAGTTTTTTTTCTTAACTTCATGGTCAAAAGATAATTTTGCTTCTAATTTCTTCTCATGGTAGCGCTCCGTCAAATCCGTACTAACAATCATTGGACCTTACATTACTACACGCCTCTCAAAACCTACGTATTTATATATAACGCCTTAAAATTACTTCTTTTTTCAAATATGTCACTCAAATCTTTTGTGTATGTACCTAATGGATTAGTGCCGGACATGCATCCCAAGATGAGCTTCAATGAGAACAAATAAGGGTATCTATAGGATGACCGAATGATAGTAGTCGACCAATCAGAAACTAGTCGAGTAGCTAACCAGAGGCTGATCAACCCAGATGCCGAGTGACTCAAGGATTGCTCAGATAGGGATCCAGTGAGTGGAAAGTGATTCGTTAGAGTCCCCATCAATCGAATGTCACAAAGTCGATTGAAAGGGAGTCGACAAATAAAAGAGGATCAGAAGTGTAATTATCATTTCATAATATTTCTAGTCCCCTATAAATAGAGGGACATTAAATTTGTTATGAGTTACCGAAACCATATACGAAAAAAAACCTCATCTCTCACATCTCTTTATATGTTTCTCTCTCATTCTCACACTCAATTCTTTGGGTGTGATTCATAAAGAAATCTAGATTCAATCTTATCACATAAAAATACTAGCATTTTAACTTTTAAAAAGTGAAATATATCATTTCATGCATACATAAAGTGTCTTGTATGTAACAATTGAAGTTAAGATATTAAATATGTAAATACACAGATGTTGACGGATATGTATGTGAGTTATATGCAAAGCACTTGAAATATTACTATTTATAAAACTTGCAGCTAAATGATGATTTTATTGAAATACCGAACCGATGTATTTATGAGTCTCATGATAAAATAATTGAGAATTTTATAATAAAAGTAAAAATTATGAGTTGGGTTTTAATCGTGATTTTTGATATTTGATTGAGAATTTAAAAAAATGGATGAAAGCTGGGTACTAGATTTGTAAATAGCAATGTTTTGAGTGTTATAGATGCAATTGCCCCCATGTAAATTTGCCTTATATATATTGTTGTTAAATTCTTAGGTTCAATGTGTTTTGAGTTTAAGGGTTTGCGTTTGGAGAATTTTGATAGAAGTTGCAAGCTTTGCGTGCACACATTTGTATTCTGTCTTATCATGCCTCCAAGTCAACAAACTTTATATATACTACGTGTTAATTTTAATAAAATAAATATGTTGTAAATATAGATGTGTATACTTTATGTACGCCGTGACTCTTTGGTTGATATCTGCAAAATCAGTTCTGATATACCACTGACAAATTTTCATCATCCGGCACGATTCTCGAGGCATGACACGAATCTCGAGACGATATTTTAAGCATGAAACATTTATATCTTGATAAAAATTCATGCAGAGCTCAAATTTCAGCAAACTTATAGTCAAAAAGACCGGCTTGATGAGAGAGACTTAATGATGTGAAAACTAGCCCAATCCGAGTCAAATCAAGCCCAGATCAAATCATTGAACCACACATAGATAATTTTCGGACACATTTGGAAAATCAAAGGGTTGTCGAATATGACAAGTTTATACTCGAATCGAGTGGCTCGACAAGACGAATCCAACGAGCCCAAGATCACTCAATTCTGACATCATTAATGCATTCAAATGTCCAGTAAACGACCTATGATCGAGGGGAAGCTCTCCGGATCGTCCGATCAAAATAATTTATATTACTGCATTAATTGTACTCAAAACACTATAAATAGAGTCTCATCCCTCTCATGAGGGAGGGTTGAAGTCTGGAGAGAGAGTCTGAGACCTTGAGGGGAAGCTACAGTTCAGCATCACCGTCGATCATTGTCAAACACCGTCGACCTCCGTCGTCGACCACCGCAAATCGCAGTAGGCCATCGCAGACCGCCGAAAACCATCACCTATTGTCATCGACCTCCGCCAACCATCATCGATCACCACCAACTAAATGCTATCAGTCAACGTCGTAATCTGAAAAATATAGTTATCTTTTCCCTTCTATGAGATTAGAGATTTCTTTAATCATCAATCAATAGTGAATTTTCGCAACTGGGTCAGACCCAGTGTTTTTTCCCTTTACGAGCTTTCCACGTAAAAAACTTCTGGAGTAGTCATTGTTTTTTTCCTTTTCATCTGAGTGTGTGTAGATTTCTCGTACAACGCTAAGACGATAATTCGTTACTCTATCGCCGAGAATTTTCTGGCATGCTTCAAGTTCTAACTCCCCTAGGGTCACAGGTTTGAGCCCGCCTGAGTGCATCTGTCCTGCAGCCCGGGATAAGTGGTTAGGCATATGAGGGTGGTTGAGGGCTCATATCATAGTCTCCGGCCATTCTTTTCACAAGAAAAAAAAAGTTTGTATCCAACACGTTTAAACATAAAAAAAAAGGAAAACTTACACATCTCTCAATTCTTAGGTATTTACATATATTACATCTATACCTTTTTTTTCCTAACATCTAAACTTCAATTTTCACATGCATTTTATCTTACTGTGCATGAAAAAGTATATTTAGCTTTTTAAAAGTTAAAATGACGGCATTTTTTTATGTTATATGAAATATTTGGGTGATATAAATATAAAATATAAAATTTAGGTGTTAGATATGTAAATATATAGGAAATGGGTGGTACATATGTAAAAGCCCAAATTTACATACATAGCACACAATTCTTACGTAGTTACGCATCTCACCCTTAAACTTTCATATCTACGTACATAGATCATTGGTGTTTTAAACCTATAACGTGAAAACTATATTTTACTTTCAAAAAGTGGCAATAACGCAATTTGTGATGTGGTATTAAGAAAATAAGTGATATATGTGTGTAAATATGAAAGCTTAGGTGTGAGATATGTAAATACAAAAAAGTTTCGTGTCGTTTATGTAAATGCCCCTATATACAATACATGATTAACCAATAGTTAAAATGCTCAAAAGTTGCTAAGCATAATAGAAGCAATAATACAAGAGAATATTCACTTTCAATAAAATAAACCAACCTTACAAGTATGACACGACACAAGTGAGGTACAATATAAATGATTTTAGAGTGTAAAAACAAAGAAAAATTGCTAAAAGTATTACCCGAATCTTGTGGGTCCTGCTTTGTTTGATAAGGAAATTATGACCACACGGTTTGTGGCTTTCGAAAGAAACTGTGAACACACAGATTGAAGGTTTTGACCATTAAATCAGGCTTATAATAGCAAATTAGATTGCAATATGTGTTATTATTTTATTAGATTTATTTTAATTATTTTCTTTAAAGTGGTATTGCTAAAACTATAAATACCACTCTTCTATGTTGTGTAAGATTCTGTCCACTTATAGTCTCTTATTTGATATATTGAATTCTCCTCATTTGCTTGTAGTTTTTCCCATATAGAGTTTTCCACAAGAAATCCGAGTGTTCTCTTTTTGCTTATTTCATTATTTGTTGCATTGATTTACTATTAAGTTATAACAAGTAGTGTTCGATCTAGACTTTTTTTCGGCGATGACAACATTCAAGTATGACATCCTACTTTTAGATCACAACACAAGATTTTCTCTTTGACAAGTTAAGACACTAGAAGTCTTAGCACAGATGGATCTAAACGATGCGCTACTTGGGTTCAAAAAGATGCCCTCATCATGAACGTTAGAAGAGAAACAACGTAAACATCGAAATGTGATTTTTCAAATTCATCTTCATATATAAAATCAGATTCTATATAAAATTTTTAAGGAGAAGACTGCCACTGTTTTATGGCTCGAATTAGAGCAATTATGCATGACAAAAAGTCTTGACTAGTAAGTTGCACTTAAAATAGCGTTTATACTCTCATAAAATGACAGAAGTTACATCTGTTATAGATCGCTTAATTGTCTTTAAGGAAATTGTCTCTGATTTGAAAGTAATTGAAGTTAAATATGACAAAGAAGATTTGACACTATTTTTATTATGCTCACTGCCTTCATCATATACGACGTTTAGAGATACCATCTTATATGAGCGAGAGATACTTACTCTGTTCAAAGTATATGATTCTTTACTTTCTAAGGAGAAGATGAAATAACTTGTGGATGAACCTATTGCTCAAGGAGAAGGCCTTGTAGTTTGAGGTAGAAGTCAAGAGAGGAGTTCTGATGATGCTGATACAAAAAGTAGATCAAAATCTAAAAATAAAGATAAGACATGCAATTACTGTAAGAAAAAATGGACACATCAAATTTGAATGTTACAAATTGCAGAATAAAAATAAGAAACAACTTTAGATTGGAAGGACAAACAATCAGATCATTATGGTTAAGCTAGCATTGTTGAAGAAGTTACAAATGATGGCGAACTCCTAGTTATCTCCGATGGAGAATCTTGTAATGATTGGTTCTTGATTCAACTTGCACATTTCATATGTGTCGCAATAGGGATTGGTTTTCAACATATGAAACAGTGTCAAACAACATCAACCACATAACTACGGGAGATAGTTTTACAATTGTTCATGTAGAATCACAAAAAATTGTGCCTATTTTTGGTGGGTAGATGAGCGGGAAGATTCCACCACCGAGAGTGATCGGGCGTGGAGAGTATCGTTGAAGAACGGTTTATCTCATGACATATGTCTTCTACATTTTAAAAATAATGTTATCATATTATTAATTGTTATTTTAATAGTTTTTTTTCTTAATTTTGACAGTCATGCTATTTACTGTTTAGTGAGGTGTTTATCTTTATTCGGCGATGACAACATTCAAGTATGACATCCCACTTTTAGATCACAACATAAGATTTTCTCTTTGACAGGTTAAGACACTAGAAGTCTTAGCACAGATGGATCTAAACAATGCGCTACTTGGGTTCAAAAAAATGCCCTCATCATGGGCGTTAAAAGAGAAACAACGTAAAGATTGAATTACGATTTTTCAAATTCATCTTCATCTATAAAATCAGATTCTATATAAAGTTTTGAAGGAGAAGACTGCCACTGTGTTATGGTTCAAATTAAAGCAATTGTCATGACAAAAAGTCTAACCAGTAAGTTGCCCTTAAAATAGCGTTTATACTCTCATAAAATGACAGAAGTTACATCTGTTATAGATCACTTAATTGTCTTTAAGGAAATTGTCTCTGATTTGGAAATAATCGAAGTTAAATATGACAAAGAAGATTTGACACTATTTTTATTATGTCCACTGCTTTCATCATATACAATGTTTAGAGATAGCATCTTATATGAGCGAGAGATACTTACTCTATTCAAAGTATATGATTCTTTACTTTCTAAGGAGAAGTTGAAATAACTTGTGGATGAACTTATTGCTCAAGGAGAAGGCCCTGTAGTACGAGGTAGAAGTCAAGAGAGGAGTTTTGATGTTTATACAAAGAGTAGATCAAAATCTAAAAATAAAGATAAGACATGCAATTACTGTAAGAAAAAAATGGGCACATCAAATTTGAATGTTACAAATTGCAAAATAAAAATAAGAAAACAACTTCAGATCGGAAGGACAGACAATCAGATCACTATGGTGAAGTTAGCATTGTTGAAGAAGTTACAAATGATGGTGAACTCCGAGTTATCTCCGATGGATAATCTTATAATGATTGGGTTCTTGATTCAGCTTGCACATTTCATATGTGTTGCAATAAGGATTGGTTTTCAACATATGAAACAGTATCAAACAACATCAACCACATAACTACGGGAGATAGTTTTACAATTGCTCATGGAGAATCACATAAAACTGTCTATTTTTTATGGGTAGATGTGCGGGAAGATTCCACCACTGAGAGTGATTGGGCGTGGAGAGTTTTCCTGAAGAACGGTTTATCTCGTGGCATGTCTTCTCCATTTTTAAAATAATATTATCATATTATTATTTTAATAATTTTTTTCTTAATTTTTGATAGTCATGCTAGTTGTTGTTTAGTGATGTGTTTATTTTTTTTTTTGTAATGTTCTGCATTAAATATTTACACTCAAGTATGAAATGTAGTGGTATGGACATTTTTGTTTCAAAAAATATTACTATACAAGGGTAGAATGATCATTTGTCCAGAAACAGCTGCAACACAAATATTTTCAAACTGCAAAAAATAAATATAGCTAGCTTATCCATGGCAACTTCTGCTTCGCAACAACTTTTTATTAAACTACAGTTGCCTCAAACATACCCAAAATCAACAAACTTTATACATATGACATGTTAATTTTAATTAAAAAAATATGTTGTAAATAGGTTAAGCATACATAAATATATGAGATTATTTAGCTTTTTCTGAGCTTTCATTTCCCTAGATTTTCACAATTTAGCTAAATTTTTTTTTTGAAGATGGATGAAAAGATTTGTTTGTCTATCTTATATGTGCTAATTCTACCTACATAAAACCGAACCTGGG